CCATAGAATTGAGATGGGCCAGGTGCAGAGGGAGATGATCTTCATAGGATTTGCATAATTCTTGATAAAGCGATACTCCTTCTGGCCTCAGACCTACCGGAGGAGATGGTTTTCATTAAATCTTTTCTGAAATACCATCAAATAGTAGAGAGATCTACATTTATGCCTGAATGCATGAACCTCACTTAGGCCAACTAAAGGGCCTTTAGGTTACAGAGCCTGTTTTCCCTAGGAGTCCATGCATTCTTATAGAACTGGTAAATAAAAGAGGGTTTCAGCATCTCAGTCAACAAGATGAGAACTTCATCCAAACACACCCTGAAGGGTGCCTTTGAGAAAAGAGCTCTATCTTTTCTGCTCTGATTCTGCTTTTCAGATATCTAATTACATAGCATACAGTCATATTCCTTCTGCAATATTCTCTCAAAGTGATACATGTGAATATGGACTAATGATCCCATAAGAGATAACTGTCACATGAGAAGGAACTGGCTGTCTCTAGAAAGAACAATTAAAAGACTCACCAAATTTTGTGATCCATGAGATTTTCAAATCTCTGACAGCATCATGCAGTTCTGCTTCTTCTGGCTTTTTCTGCTCTTTTTCTTTTACTACTGGAGTAGTGGTGTGCTTCTTCGGAGCATCTCCAACAATNTTTTTCTTTTACTACTGGAGTAGTGGTGTGCTTCTTCGGAGCATCTCCAACAATGAACCTAACTGGATAGACCTCCTGAAATATGATGCAAATGTTAGGTGGTTTTCATGTGCTTCTACTATGAGCAGATAAGTAATAAAGGTACACAATCAATACCTAGACAAAATCCAAGCCATATACATAATGACACAATGTAACAAGGCAAGAAAATCCATTTCCATCTAACATATTTAAAACTGGTTCGGTTCAATGAAATGCAGAATTACTATCAAGTACCATCAATTACATAATTATAATCATGATTGCAAACTGAAAACATAATTGAGTAAAAATGTATTTGAGAGTCCCACAATAATGGATGATGCAAAACATCTAGAGTCTAAAACAGAATTTTACCAGTCGAATAATTAAGTCAAGAAATGAATGGTTCAAGCACTTCAGCATTATTTTTCTTTCAGTTTTTATTCAAAAGAAGCAATTTCATTGTTCAGTACAAATAGCTATTGTATTTTACAAACCATCAATCAGTATAAACTATTAGGTTGAAACAAGCATGGACAATGGTGTTTTGATTGAAATTTTGCCAACAGACAACCACAGACAGTCCAAGAGAAACTACCGAAAATATTGAATATGGTAGGACGTATGCGGTTACATTGACAAAGCACCACTCTCATAGTCCCAGCATACGGAACTCATCTTCCACATGATACATTTAAAGTGACCCCTTTGCTAGCCATATTTACATTGCACCCAGCATCTTTATAAACAAAGACTTTCCTCTGATAAAGTAAGTTCATCACTGATATCCCGCAAATTCCATATTCAAAGTGGGTAAGCAGCATCTGGGCTTGCAGCTACCAGTATTAAACGCAAGAGAAAGAGCATCGCTACAATTTGCAGGGTACCTCTCAGTAACACATGCCTAACATTGGTCACAAATAATAATGAAGCAAACACAGCTCCAATATATAAGGAGAATATTTCCATCATCTCCATCCACCACTCCTGCCACCAACCGCAGCTTCTTAACCCCTTCAGTGACAGATTTTCAGACATGTTACGAGAGAAGCCTGAGAATTTCCTGGGCAAACCACTGAATGGGTTAATGTGGCACCATATGTTTCTTGATAAATGATGTATGCAACACCAAGAAAAAATGTGTAGTTAATAGCAGTGCTATCTGGCATGGGCAAAGTGCAGCAAAATTGGCAGAGGAACATGATTATGATCTTTAACAGCATCTCTAATAAATAAAAACTCTTTCATGCAATTGTTCAACACCAGAAAAGGAAATGGCATGATATGTATTTGTATCAGTAGGAAAAGAAAAAATCCAAAGCCACTACAACAGAGAAAGGTATCATAACAGCACTCACCGCTCTCTTCACAGCATCATCTTTTCCAAATGTGAGGGTACCTGTCAGCATGTGACCTGCAGGTATACCTTTCAGTGACCTGAAAATAAGTAGAGAGCTTGTGGAAACTGGTGCAAATAAAACAAGATAATGCACAAATGGTGGATCGCCTCATTAATCCAAATAATCTCATTCAGCAAACATATCATTCATATTTCTATACCCTAGTGTATCCAATGCAAGCAGAAATTTTAAAAATGTTTATGCCTTACACCATTTCATCTGTAAAAGATGGCATAACTGATATGATTATATATTTCATGAAGATCATGGTAAAATTATCATCAGTTTCTTCTTCTTACACAGCTTAGTAGACTGACCTCAGAAAATAGAGCATTCATTGAATATTCAAAAAGAGAGACCATTACCCTCCTCTGATCATTCTCTAATGACAATATGAGAGGCAAAAGTTAGAATGGCCCATGAGATCATCCTTGCATGCAGAAAATGCTTGCCATATGAGAATGAGAGGAGAAAACAATGAGCTCAGACTTCAAATTTGCACTTCTACTGTCAATGCAGAAGTATAATCGAGATGAATGGAATGAGACTTGGCAAAGAAGTTGTCTCCTCGATCAGCAAAAAACTATTTCCTCTAGTCGATTGCCATATCAGCTCGCATCATTTGCAAAGCATGAACATTTTGACTCCTGCACTCCATTAACCTGCTAAAAAAAACCACCAGGTAGACTCACTTCTCTGGGATGAAGGTTGAGATGTACAGGGGGGCTACTGTCCCCTTGGGCAACACCACAGGAGAAAACTTCTTGCCATTTGTGACAGCTGCTGCCCAAGATGGATATATGTCCATTGGAACCGCAGGGAAAAGGCGAACGGAGATGTAAAAGAGAAGATCCTGAATGCCAGCAAGCAAGTCGTAGCGCTCGTGGCGGATTTGGGTGCGGAGGCAGTAGCTCCCTTTTTCCAGCTTCACTCCATACTGTCATGTATGAAATTAGATGAGCTAAGTAAATATGGCAAATACCTTCATTAACTTTTCCTTCCTAAAAAACAATCTCTCAGTTCAGCATGAGGTAGCAAAAGAATTTTAAAAATTTTGATGATCAAATCCCAGGAACCCTGTCAATAAATTTAATCAGACACAAAGTAATAATAATGAAAAATTTGAAATGACAAAAAGCATTAGGAGAAAATTGCAAATTACACCAGTATTGAGGAGTATGACCTATTTGATGCACCACAATATTTACCTTTGATGGATAGGAATCACCACAGGCAACAAGACGTTTATTGGAATCATAGAGCATCCATAGCTGCCCCTCATACTCCGACTCATACAGATACTCTCCAAGCAGAGGGCTAGAAAAAAGAAGAAAAAAGAATCATACTACCATTCAGCAAATAGTCAACCCTTGCTATAATGCCACCACTGGTATATAAATAATCTACTGGCCATGATTTAGGCCCTATAATATAAATTTGCATCAGCTATCCCTTCCTATCACTGAATGATGTGATAACAGATGGTTTTTCCATCTGCCACTGAGGAACAAGTAAAATTCATTCTTTCCCTACATCATTAGAGTGGATTCCATTGAATCAAAGGGGACTCACTTCTCAGGTGAAATCTCCACTGAACGAGAGATGTTGAAGTTGTAAGTTAGCACCAGAGCAAAAATCCTCCTGCCAACAGGAATCACATCTCTAGATCCAAGTGGCTGGATTTTTGATTCAGCAGGTCTGCAAAGGAAAAGACCAAGACAAAAACAATGAATTATAGAAATCCAAAATCCACCTTAGATCAAGTGTGAAAAAGGAACCTCTTGTGTCTAATCCCATTAAACTCTATTGCTACTATAGATGAGTTGGCTCAATTACAGAAGTCGTTTATTCTTTACAACAGGTATACCAAAGGCTTTCCAATGCAACAGGAACCAGTCCAAACACCAGCGATGTCCTTCATTTACATATGCTAAAGACCTTAACTTTAGCTAGTATCAGAAAACATGGAAAACCAAAGAAACTTAGTACATGGAAAAAATTACCAATGAAAACAGAATCTTTTCTGGATTGTGGACGCTCTCATTTTTGTTTGGACCAATAAAGGAGAAAACAAACATTGCAATGTTACCTGCTAATACTAATTGTCTAACATTTTCCCCTTTGTTTCCTGTGCAGCTTAGAAGTGTTTGATGAGACATTTCTACCCAATGCCGCAAAACTTAACATGACTCCTTCAGCCCTTTTTTTCCTTATTATGGTAAGATCCCTTCTCAGTGAATAGGAAAGAGTCCACATAAGACATTAGTAAACAACATTTACAAACATAACAACACAAACCTCAAAACAAGAACATGGTTCTTCAGCATGGCAACAGGTGCCAATTCTTCGCTCCGCAGAGGTGCAAGGGCATTGACACGCACGATCCCATCCCCCGCGTGGAGCGTCAACTCTTGCCGCGATGCAACGATGCCACCAAAAACAACTTTCACTGACACGAGAGCATCTCCTCCGACCATCCAGTTCCTTGCCACCACAAGCTCCAGTGTCAAACCTCCCTGGAGAAGAAATACAGCCAATCAACCAACTAAATTCAAAAGCATCAAAACTCCTTCATGTTGGGTATTACCATGAAAATGTTTCACACAACTGAGGATAGGCTGAAGTGTCAAAATCACCTCAATTCTATTCAGAAGTCCTTCATCTTTAGACAGTCAGATTTTCTGAGGTTTGCATGCAATTGTTTACATAGTGCATCAATTAAAGTCTGAGATTGTCAGACCTCAGCTCTCCCATGCTAAAGACATTTAAATGAGGGAGAAGAGTGCAGATAGAAGCAAGATATCAATCACTTCAGGTGGGTCAGAGATATAAGTGGGCATCACCGTCAGGCAGGATGGAGAAAGAGGGATCTCCAGACTGACTCTTCCATATATTTTTAGAATCCCCCAGTCAATGGGACAGGTATGCCAGCTGTGATTCACATTGCTCTTCCTTTCTGGACATTAATCAGCAGCCGTTCACACAGACCAGGAGTCTGCTGGACACTTAGTTTCCCATATCTCATCTAACCCCAAGTCTGAGCAGTTACACTGCGAATGTTCTAAATGTGAAATCTTATTTTTTAATTCCTACAAGGTATCAGCAAGCTGTGTCAAACTCACCGTGACCGCAAAGACAGCAGATTCGAGGGAGCCAGGAACCAGATGAACATTTTTATGGTATTCATGTAACTTGCAGGATTCCTGGTGGCTGAGCTGAATGGCATGAAGGACATACTGAGTGCCTGATCCACTCCCACTCTTCCCAGGGGAATTTCTAGTACCAGGACCACATGTTGTCTGCTGTCTCTCTAGTAACTCTACCCCTGAAAAAGAAAATTTCCTTGTACAATTCCATGCACATTGTAATAAAAAATGAGCAGGATCTCCATATGCATATACTGGTTGGAATGCATGCCAAAAATACAAAATGCAGGATTCCTGGTGGTACATTTTAGCTAAATTTTAAAAATTATATAAATGGTGTGAATTCTGCATCATAGTAATTAAAAAATTGTAAAGGCGAAGGACTCACTCGCCCAGGACGCATGATCCGGCACGATAACAAAGGACCTCCGCACAGTTCCCTGGGAGAATGACATATCCTGGATTTCCAGTTCAAAGTTCATTTCTTCAGTGACCTTCCTTGCCTTGACTACAGTGACAGGCACATCAAAGAGACGCCCCTTCCGGGGGTCCTTGGCATCGTAGGCGATGATGCTGTAAATACAAATAAGTAAATTTCATAAGTTTAGAAAAAAACGTTAAAGTTAAAAACTTAGAAAATAAGTTTTTAACTTAACTCAACCAAGAGCCCAACCAAATCCATTAATAATTTCATAGAGATGTGTCCAGGATATGACAGTAGGCAAGCCAAAACAAAAATTGGTGGAAGTCATACCTAGTAAAATGGCAACCGGGTTGAAGGTCATCTGGTACGACCTTCACCTTGAATGTGCGACTAGCATACTGGAGGCTCAAGTGAGAAGGGAACTGAACCCATGTGGCACTGGCATCACTTGAAGCCATGCAGATCTGCATCTCAAAACCTATCTTCTTCTCGGCTTCTACAAAGAAAGAAGGACAAGGAGAAGAGGTTTAAAAAATATATATTGAAAATATCAAAAATTCCATTCAAGGTGATTCATATAACTCAAAAAGGAATTCATGAAAGAAATGGCCACCTGGGCCAAAATAAAATTTTTTTTTGTAAATATAAAGCAAATTATCCAAAAATCATATCTGCCCTGGAACTAGAGTTTCAAACCATTCAAAATCAATTAGATGAACGTACCAACTTCACTGTCATTGAAGAAAATTGGTTCAACTGATACAGAAAATTCTTGAGACTTCTCACACTGTCCTCTGTCTCCTCTCATGTGAATCCCTTTGGAAGTTCCATTAACTGAAACCTCAAAGGAAATGTCTCGTTCCACAAACTGGTGAGTAGCTGACAAGTGCTCAAAGGCTCTGTCAACCTGAAATGAAATACCACACTCAACATTCTGCATAGAACATTTATCATGAATACAATTATACATGAACGTATAACTTTTTCTGAGAAAAATTATGAAAATGTGAGGTAAATTTTTTAAATTAAAGTGGAAAAAAACCAGGGTAGAAAAAATTATTCATCCTGGCTGTGGAATTAATTGTTTAACTACACCAACCTTTCCCATTCTCTCAAACTTGTCATGTGTTATGATGCATGCAGGTAGTCCACTGTCTAGACATTGTCTCTACATGAACAGAAAATCCAGGGCTTGAAATTGACAGCATTCTCAGCTTCCTCCCCCCTCCAATGCTTCAGAATTTCCCAAAAGCCTTTACTTTTTCTGGTTCCCAGACAAACTTTCCCCACATGAAGTCACACTCCATCTCAAGCAGAGAGACACCCGAGAGATAGCACATACTGCATCTCCCCTTTGTCATCAACCAATCTCACGACACATGGTCAAGTTCCCTCCCATCACAGTCTGAAAATTTTTGAACATTATACACAGATGCTAAGAAATATACTGCAGTTGTAAGACTGTGCAAAAAAGTCCAAAGATAGCATTCAACTGCCACTCAATAATACTTCAATATTTTGATAACTAAAAATAGTCATCACTCAGGGATTACCAAATGCCTGATACTAACTAAATGACAATGGGATGTCCTCCCACCTCCCCTCACTTATTCAAGATTTCACCAGCATTTAGGATGCCTTTTCTCTCTTCACTTCGCCCTCAAGTATTAGTCACCTGAGGTGGACTTAACTTATAGAAATCAGAATTGAATTTTGACATTTTGATCTGGAATTGACCCACATTCACTGATGCTTTGGATCAAGGACATTCAAACCCAAATACTTGTGGTCATATTCCAACTTGTGAATCTGGGGTTGTTTTGGCCTCTGGTCCAATTCATCACTAATTATTTTATGCAAATTGCATCAAGAAAGCCCTTGGGTCAAAAATTTCTCAAATGCAGTGGCGGCTCATGATATTTAGCGCTAGTGGTTTGTCTATGGAGAGGAGGTAGGCAGAGTAGGTCGCTGCCTACCCCCTCTCCATAGATGAACCACTAGCGCTAAATATCACAAGCCGCCACAGCTCAAATGTATTGAAAATGTTCATCAATGAATTGAACCATTCTGACCTGAATGAGCCCAAAACCCTGGGCAAAGGCTTCATGATTTTGGAAGTACAGGGCCGTGTTCTCCGCCGATCTACGCAGGCTCGTCG